GTGGCTGTGTATGAAGTCTGTACCACACTTCTTTTCTGAATCGATTATCACTAAAAATAAAAATAACTCGCTCACTGAGTTAAAATAATAATAATAATGTTAATTTGTTTCTTCATTAGTTATTATTCGAATAATATTTCGCGATGCGTTAGCTTAAAACTAGATCCCTGTTGATCCAACCGGTTCGCACCACTTGAAGGGATTTCGTACTGCCCCCTTGTTCGGCCAGGAAACGCTCGTAATTGTCCAGTACTTTTCTTCTGATAGAGCTAAATTGAACAAATACATTGGCTTTATTTGCTAAATTACCATTATTTAAATTGCGATAAATTGTTGAGCGCAATTTGTGACGAGCTAGAGTGGAAAAGTACACAGGAATCATGCGCAGATTGGGCATGCGACCAAATCTTTCACAATGTATCGTTCAACTTTTTTTTTTTTTCCTATTTTCTTCGAAAAATAATACATTTTTGCAGTGTATCAAAGCTCATAGGAAAGGCTGGGTGGGAAGGAGGGGAGGGAATGGTGGTTGCATTTCAAAACCGTTTCATAATCCGTAGAGCGTATATTTGAATATATTTCCTTCATTAAATTTTAGCAAGATACCCTCTTTGGATGTATGAACGATTATTTTACAAAAGATGTAATATCAAGGTTGCCGTTTTCTTACTCCAAATTTATAAATTTGGTATTTACGATATAAAAATATCTAAAGAATTGCAAGTTGAAGTTATTCCCAATTTTTTTTTTTAAATTATCTGCTTTTATAATTTTTGTTATGTACAGATATCATTTTATTTTTTTTATTTCGGCAAAAAACAACCCGTTATTTTTAGTTTTTTTCTAATTTCTTCCATTATTTTTTCTGGTATCAAATTTATTTAAAATGATTTGATTGATTTTTTTAATTTATGGTTCTTCTAAATAACGATAATATGTAAATAATATATTTTTTGTGCTGCTTCTAGATAATTGATCTTTTCCCGTCTGGTTTTTGGCCTTCCAATCCGTATCTTGCCAACAAATACGCATCCATTGTTATGTATAGGCTTCCTGATGAATAGCTTCGTATATCATGTTTGTTTTTTAAAAATTCATTGGAAGATTAGATCAGTTTTTGTAATAAGTGTTGAATCGACCTGCAAATAAGAGTTATTTTTTGTAGTTTCGACTTGTTATTATTTTAAATTATTTAGGGGATTCTCCAGAAGAGCAATCTGATGAAATCTAGATTGTGTCAAAAGAATGTAATCAACATTTTTATGATCTACACCTGTTACCAGCTCGTAAATTATAATTTAAGATGTTGGGTTATTTTTAAAAATATTATATTACTTAATATTTATGAATTTTTTTTTATTAGATTCCGTCCAAAAAAAGTGTTTTTTTTTCCGTTTCACTTTTTGGCCATTTTCAAAAATGTAATTGTATTGACACCGTATTCTTCAAATAACATAATACAACACTTGTATCTATTAACTGATAATAAAATTATGTTACGTAATTTATAGCCCATGGTACAGACCCTTTTTATGAAATTATTAACATCCGCCTAAAACTTCTTGAACAGCTTCATCTCGTCGTAAATTCTCGTCGGATTCGGGGCGTTTTCAATCTGGAGGCAGGCAAACTTTGTCTATTTAATTAGGTTCTAAAACTTACGAATACCTATTTGCTTTCCACTTGATTCATAAGATAATATTATGAGAAAGTCGACAAAAAAGGTGTCTTATAAAAATATTGGTCCGTTTGGCGTGATATAAGATATGTCCAAAAAAATACAAGGTTATATAGACCAAACGGCCAAATATTTCTTAGGACATTTTTTTACTCGATTTTGTGATCATATTATCTTACGATTCAAGTGGAAATCAAATAGGTATTCGTAAGTTTTAGTACCTAATTAAATAGACAAAGTTTGCCGATCTCCGGATGACAAAACGTCCTAATCCCGAGAATTTTCGTAAATAAAAAATTCGGGGGTTATGATGAAATGAAACTTTTCACGAAGTTTTAGGAAAATTTTAATTATCTGATGAAAAGGGTTTAGTGATAAGATTATTATGTTTAGTAATATAACAAATTTTTAAATAAATTGTATTAATATAAATATTTTGTTTAAAGTAGTCCTTTTCTTAATTATTTTGTATTATGTGTTATTATTATTTATTTTTTTTGTTGTATTCTCAAGATTTTTATTGTACTATTATTGCGCCTAAAATATGTAATTTGGTTATATTTTGTCCGGACTTTAAAATAATTATATTAAATTAATTTAAGATAGGAGTTTTATTTTTGCTTATAATATTGTCAATTTACTATTAGCGTGGACAAGAATTTCAAATATAAAAGGAACAATTGATTATAGTATCGGCATGGAGCCATTATTATATTATAAGCCATAATATTTTTATCGTTTGTAATACCTCGCAGATGCGCCAATGATAACTACGTTGTTGCTTGCTTTGTTAAATCTTTATGTGCGGTTAATTACTCCACCGTTCTCCGTCTTGCGATAATTTCAACTGCGGATCTAAAGACTTGACGACATACTTTTGGTGGAGGGGAAATAGAATGGTTTTGCGTAGTAGCCGTGGCGTGGTTCCAACATTTTTATCTTTCCCTTTAAAATTAATGAGAAATTTATTCCAGGCCATTAAACTGCACGTATTTTAATGCTTGCTTGCTATTTTGACACTTTCCGAAGCGCTATTTACAACGTTTTCATGCAAGATGGCCGTTCGTCGAGTTTGGGACTTACTGTAGTGTTTTAAAACTTATCGTATTTTTTAAAGCTTTGAACTATATCAAAACGAATAATATTTCTAATGATGGTGTTAATGACAATTGTTGACTGTACAAGATATAATGAGGAGAAGTTGGTTTAGATTTTCAGTCAATGAAAGTGCAAATTACAAACAAATAAATTATATTTATTTTTATTTCCTTTGTTCCGACGTTTCGGCACATCTAATCTCGTACAATCTCTAATTGTAGATTGAGCTAGGTGTTCAATGCTGGGCACTACTATTCAGTAGCTGATCCTAAATCTCATTTTGGAGGAGGGGGGTGGAGGTTTAAACAAAAAAAAAAAATGAAAATAAAACATCTAACTATAAGCAGAGATGGGCAAATGCTACGCCGAGAACCGAGTACCAAGTATTTTACTCAAATTGAATCATTATTGGGGAATTACATCACTACGTTGGTTAATCGTTTGACGCTAACTAAAGTAGAAATTGAATTCTTTGGTACTATAAAAAGGTCAGTATTTGTGTAAAATACTTCGTAATCAGAATAGCATTTGCCCATCTCTCACTATAACCACTGTCCATGTGACAGAATGCTGAATTACTCAATATAAAAATATATATATATATATATTTCAAAGTCGTCCCAAACAAATTATATTCACATTTTCTCGAAGTTATGCGAAAAAGTTTTTCGCTTACGTATTCAATGTTTCATGTCTCTGCCCCGTCTTTAGGAATATTCTATTTCCTAGTTTTTCCTAATTACCCTGACAGGAATAATTCATGATTAGAAGGTTCCTAAATAGAAAAGGAGTAAAAAGTTATAGAAGGAAATTACATCAATAAACTATGGATGCCATATTAGGCTATATTTAGTAACAAGAATAGGTAATAGAATATTCCTGAAGATGGGACATAGCTCTGAAACGTTGAATATGTAAGCGAAAAACATGAGTAATGAAATAAAAAAATTATTAATTTTTCGCAAACCTTTAAGAAACTATATAAAAACTCCTTCCTCTATATTGTCTATAGTTTGTCAAAAAAATATATTCTCATTATAAATTCAATAACCTCTCCCAAGTCAAATATTTTTGTATCGAAGAAAGGTTTTAATGTTGTTGGTTTGAGCATTTATATATCTGTGTCCCGAAATCAAAGAACATGTCCATTCTTTAAATTTGCTCCGGGATGCCAATTTTACATAAATTACAGCTATTAAAATTTGTTTCTTAGTTACTAATTCTATACTCCAGAGGTAATGGACACCATGACAAATTTTTGTATTTCTTCTGGAAGGCAATTTTCTATAACTTGACAAAACAGCAATTAAAATTAGTTTTTTAGTTAGCAAATAATTTAATAAAAAAATTATTTCACATATTATATAAAATATCATATATATTATTTCTAAAAGGTGTATTTTTTGTCGGTACGCCATAACTTCGTCAATTCTTCATCAAATCCAATGATTGACCTCTTATTTTGAAGATATTCTTCTTCACATGCGAGAAATAGTTAATAGTAATAGTAAACACATCCTATCCTCCCGAAATTTCTGGAAAAAAAAAGTTATGAAGGAAAAGAAACTTTATTTGAGAATAACTCAAAAATTGTGCATTTTTTTACTGTACCTTTTTGATTTTATCCATGATAATTGGAAATATTACTAAATTACTTACAAAACACACACACAAAAAAAAAAAGAAAAATCGTAAAAATCGGACAATTATTAACAAATATACACTCCATTAGTTTTCTTATACTTAATAATGTCTTCCTGTTTAAAGATGTTGCATTTAGGAGTAGAATAGTCTATTATACTTTTTTTTCCCCGGCTGATATATTAACTTTATTATTTCTTAAAGACATTTGGTTGTTCTTACATATTATTTTTTTTTAATTTAGAAAATCCCATGATCGGGGCATTATTTTTTCTTTATTACTTTTATTATCTTTCCAGTCAGCGTTTAAAAATGGGTCCTAGCAAAGCAATTTTTGTACAAATATTTTGGTCTATTATGTTTAATGGAATATTGTAATCGACCAAGGAAAAAATATTAATTATTTCCTTACGTAATACATAGGAACCACTTATTTCCATATCGTTTTGCTATGTCTTCACTGAACAAAATTTTCTGCGAATTATTCCCACGGGCCAACTAACATATTTAATATATATAAAAGAACAACACAGATATTACACTGAAATTTAACTCATTTGTCGTTAATGTTAATTATTTCAATTTATGGAAGTAATAGCATACTACTGGAAACACTGGAAATACTTATGTGTTGGCAGCCCTGGGCGGAGGAGTGGTGAGAGGAGGGGGCAAGGCGATTGAGGGGAACTGCTGTATTGATTTTCCGACTGCGGCTGCCCCGACGGTAGTGGGTCATGCGGCAGGTCCCCTTGCCAGGGTCCACATCGCATGCTTTACAGCGGCCAGCCGGTGAAACATAGGCCCCTCCAGGGGAGTCAATGAACGATCCGTCGGCAACGCCCAGGGGCGACGCGCGCATCGCCTTCTCCAGCAACATATCCACCTCCATAGCCCCATAAATTACTGTTTCTTCTTCCTCCCCTTCCCTATAGAAACTTGGCAAGGAACATTTCTTAACAGCTGATAAAACTATTTGTACTTTACGTTTCCTTAGTGGGATCTCTGCAAACTTCTTATTTTAAAGCTTGCTAATTTGAAAAACTTCTCGCTTATCAGTGTTGTTGGAGTTGGAAAGTGTAGGCTGGATTCGACGCAGGCTCCACAGAAATCTCCGACTCCACCGAATGTCTATATTCCTCAGGTTGAAACCGTTGTAAAACCGCAATGAGCAGCCATGTGACTAATTCATCTACACTGTAATATGGGTAGAATTTTCCCATTCCAACTCTTAAGTGGCGATGGATTTTAAATGAGGTGTCAAATGAAAGGAATCTTCCTGGAGAAGTGGAGAATTTAAAAAGTTAAAACCTGACTACAACTGCGATAAAAGTCCTTGAAAAATTTGAAGTTTTCAAAACTCGGTTTTCGAATCATGGCGGAATAAATCGCGTTTAAAAGATTTTAAATCCAACTTCAAGACCTGGTATAGTCCCAAAGGAGCTAACATGCAGTATATTTTAAAGCCCTAAAATATATTATTATTTATTTATTTGTTTTCGAGGAAAGCAGCCCCCATACAAATAGAGTTGAACTTATAAACATAATAAATATAGCTGCCAAAACAAATACAAATTAATTAATTTTACAGCCATAAATAATTACAAAGCAATAGAATCGAAGGTCTGCTTGATCATAATACAAATATATATAAAATAACAAGTAAAAAATAACAAAGAGTAAATAGTGTATATAAAATAAATAAATAAAACATAATACAAAAATAAAAATAAGCACTTATTAAAAAAAATAATAATGATATATACACAATCCCTTGATACTTATTCTCCTAATGAAACAAAAATGCATATATTTATGCACATATTCATACTTTAACTCGCATGTAGATGTATAAGGTAGCTGCAAATTAAAATACCGAACAACTTAACATATACCGTTTTCATTGCAATCTATTTTTCCTAATGAAAAATGCACCTGAAGGGCATAGAATTTTTTTTAGAGACTTACAGCACTCCGATTTCTATCAGAAAAAAACATGCCGAAAATGGTTTCAACGCTTTAACTACAATGAATTTATTCTCGAAGATGGCGACCGTCCACTTGACAAAAAATAGCTATAGACTATAATTGATGCGTTTGAGCCAAGTCCTGAAGATAAAACGAACGCAATGCGAGGAGAGGCACGATAAGGTGATTTTACTCTATGATAAAGCTCAGACACATGTTGCAAACCGGGTCAAAACTTGTTTTAAGACGTTGGAATAGAAAGTTTTATCCGACTCGCTATATTCATCTGGCGTAGCTCCTTTCGACTACCTACGGCCTGACTCAACAGCGCTTCCATTCTTTTGATGAAACTAAAAAAATGGGTCGATGACTTGATTGCCTCAAAATTAATAATTTTTTTAAACATCGAATCCGTATGTTACCTTTAAGATGGAAGAAAGTAGTGGCTAGCGATGGACAATGTTTTGATTGACCTACGTAAAAAAAAACGGCGGAAACTCATTCACACACCCTATAGTTTGCGTCTCAGGTTACCTATCGTTAGGATCCGGGTTCTTATCCCGGGTGATTTCTTAAAGCATTGAGTCAGCCTATTTTTTTAATAGATAGATTAAATGTAGCATCAGTATGTGTCGAATGTCATCGTATTTGAAGCCTACTCGTTTTAGGGATATAGTATTCGTCAACATTATTCCCTATAGGCCTATTCTAACCTCAACGATTTTAGAGAGTGCAATAAATCAAAATCTTCTTTAATAAATCTGGTAATATCTAGACGGATAACCATAAATTCTATAATGGCTCAGTTAAGCTAAATTAGAAAACATGATTTTTAGGTTCGAAACTTGGAATTTTTTTTTTTGTGGCATATTAACCATTAATGGGAGTTATCTTTAGGATGCGGTCAGTTAAATAGTTAGATGTAAAAGTAATGTAATATTTGTGGTTTATTAGTTTGTTTTTTAAAATTATTATTTTATTTTTTACATTAATTAATAAACTCATCTGTTTATTACAATTTGTCCAACTTTTTTTTATTTCGTGTGGAAATTAAAGGGGTAACAGTGAACCCTCGTTTACAAAGTTATTTAAAATTCTATACAACTTTTTTTTATTTCTTTATCGAGTTAAATTATACATTCTATCACAATCTACGACATTGGTAACAATGATAAAAGGTAACAATTCGTTTACACCATATTAACAATTTTTGTTTTATTTATTTATTTTTTATTCAGTAATGTAATAATATTATGTCACACGGACAATAATTATATTGAGGTAAAAACACATACACACCGTATATACAGAAAACATTAAATAAACAAAAGTAAAATAACTTAAAGATTATTAAATGCAATAACAGCAAAATAATAATATTAAAAATATAAATGCACGTAATATTATTATTATTTTATTATTTGGCTAAATCGCTCTCGCTCAATCTCCACTAGCTTTAGCACCAGCGATGCGGTTGAGAGAGTAGCACAGGGATCTCTTGGAGTCCTGCTTTTCCCTCTATAGTTGGAGGGACAAGCCTGGCTTCTGGTTCCCTACCTGATTGTATATAGGTATGACTGAGTTTTAATGTTTTTAATTTACTTGTCTTTAAGTTATTTTATTATTTATTGTACATAGTTGTTTGATTACTATTTAGTTATTATTTTACTTTTGTTAATTTTCTATTTTCTGTATATATGGTTTGAATGTGTTCATATCTCACTATATTTATTGTCCACGTGACAGACTATTATATATCTAAATAAATAAAAAAAATAAAAAAAATTGTTAATCATCTCCAAACTTTTAGATACTATACACAACTAACAATAAGTTCTAAAAAAAATGTAAATAATAAAATAAATGCATAAATTAAATTTTAGATTTCTACATTTGCAGATTAATATTTTATAAATCTTCTAAAAACTATAATATGTGGTATCCGTTACAATTTTTAATGGAAGGCATTATCCTGCTTTACAACCAGAGTATTTATTAAACTACCGTATTTTAACTTACTTTCATAATAATAATCCATAAGATGTGTATTCAATGAAAATTTAAATAAATTATTAATTTATTGAGTTCTACCAATGGGTAGTTTCTCTTCATGTTGTACATGCCATGTTACAAATTTCTCATTTACTTATTGTATTCTCTATGTAATACAGTTGTAAATTCCATTAAAATAATAATAAAAAAAAATTATTAATTTAAAAATATAATATAAAATCTAAAAAGCTTTAATGATTCATTTTTAGTGGGTCAAATCCAAAACGGTAGGTTTAAATACACTTCTCAGACAAATAAATAAAGTCAGATAAGATATAATTCATGTGAATATTCTGATTACGTTGTAGAAAACAAGGCGTAAAAAAAAAAAAGAATGAAAGAAAACCTTCAGGATGACAGGCAAAGATTATATAAGTCCCGAAGCCAAACATATCTCAACTCGCCACCCATTCCCCACTATTGACTTTCCAAAATCTTGTTTCGTTATTCATACCACGTAAAATACTCTCTTGTTAAACCATTTTTTTTTTCCTCCTTTAAAAAGAATTGAATATGAATTTCCTATTTTGAAATCCTTTATTATTTACTGTCAGTGAGGCGATGGTCATGGAGATGTATTCAGAAATGAAACTCACAGTGTGTCAATGTATCGTTTAACTTATGCTGAAGTGTCAGCCTAAGTTATAAGGCTTCACCAGGGCCAATAGAAAAAAAGATAGATGAATAACACAAAAGAAATATATATTTTTTTAAAACTATTTATTCAAGATATTTACAACTGTATTGCAATATAAACACATCTAGTAAATGTGTACATAAAAAAAAAAAAAAAAAAGAAAAAAAAGGAAATATAAAAAAAAAAAGTAGGATTACATGGAGAGATAAGAAACAATACACTAGTATAGCAAAATATATGAAATAGAATAATATGAAAAATATATAATTCCTGCTGAAGCATTTTGAGGATTGTTCAAAACATACTGACATACCTCCACACCTTATTACAAAAGATTTCATTTCCAGGTGTCAAAAATGTGTTAATAACTCATATTTTAGAAGAATATCCGTTTTACGTCCAAAGGTTTAAAGAATTTGGAACATCCCTTGAATAATTTATTAATTGCTATTATCAGCATGCGAAACGAGGAGGAAAATAGGGCTAAATTTATCAACGTTTTAAACAAAAAAAAATTATGAAATTTATTTAACTAGTCTAAAACAAGTGATATTTTGCCGATCCTTTATTTATCGCTATCATTCGATTTATTTTTGGATATATATATATATATATATATATATATTTGCTGATTTTATTTATTATTTTTTGTTCCTTTTTTCTTATCTACTTCTTTCCAACATATTAATTTCATTCCCTTCTCTTCTCTTCTTTGTATTATTTATCTTTCTAACCCATTTATACAGTTATTCGATGTACCAATATACATATTTTACACCTTAATCTCACAATAACTAACAGTTAAAAGAAATTCATTAAAACAAAAGAAATTTTGAAAAACACAATCTTCTATATTTTTATGGTTTCTTAATATCACAGACTGTTTAATTTTTGTATATATTTTTATGTATTTTTTTTTTCATCCTCCAATTTGTTCCTATTTTCTAGAATTCTTTTATCTTTTTTCGTTTAGACCTTTCGAAGAAATGAAAAATCTTTCTTAATACCTACTATGCATCCCTATGAAGCCCTGGGCATTTTTGGGGGGCATTTTTTTTTTTTTTAACGCTCAACAATGTATGCAAATATTATACACCAAAACGTAACTCAGTATTATAAAAGCAAGTCCTATGTCATCGCATGGCCGTATATTTATTTTTAGACCCACCGTGTGAACGATTATATAAAATGCGATATGATCCCACAAACTTTATTTGAAGCAGTTTCATGCAAGT